GAAAATGGTATTTTCCAACTGAATCAGCTACTTAAGCTAATTCCCCATAAAGCTGCACGAACAGTATGAGGGTGTTAGACAGGAGGGCAGGAAGCGAGCAGCAAGTGTTCAATCCCCTGCTGCTACACAGAAGATGTGCCCGATCCAAACTCCCCCCCTTGGGCCAGCACTAGTCACTCCTTTGATCTTGTTACAGGCCAGTCAGAGAGCTAAGCTAGCACAAAACTAACAGCACAGCATTGGGAGGCTGGAAGAATGAGTTCCTTACCCTGGGAACAGCTCTGGAGCAATTCCAGTCACACAATTCAACTGTGCAAGCCTGATTTAATGAGATAACGTCAGCCAGTTCAACCCCAGAACCATGCTGCTTAGGCTATTTCAACTGCAGCGCAGAACAAGCAACTTTAAACTTCAGTTAAAGTCATTTATGCTAGTACATGTTAGTCTAGTCCTAACACACGTAACCAGTCGATTACTCCGGCTCAGCTAACGGGTGACAATCCATCATTTTGCATCCTGCACCCTAAAAGGCTGAGCTGATCTGAATGCTGCTGCACCATCACCCTTCCTACTGACTACCCATTTCATAGCTTTGCTAGCACCACAGCCTTGGAGACTTCAAAAGTTTTGACACAGAAAGCTACCATCCTCTTTAGGTAAGTATTTAATGGCTTTGAGAAGTTAAAAACAGTTCCAACTTCCACAATACCATACCATGGCACCAGTACAGACGAGCAAGAGATTCAAATGCAACAGAGCAACTAGCAGAAGATGAGGAACGTAAGAGAAGGAGCAAGCTGGAAACACAGGGTCTGAAGAAAACACTTTATCAAGAGAAAGGTAAAGTCAACCAAAATAGAAAAAAATGAAATTTGGAAATGCTGTTGAGAGTAGAACGGCTGTCACAGCTTCAAGGCTTCATCTTTCAAGCCATGACAAAAATCAAAAACTGCCTTTGGAGGAAAGTTCATTAGCTTGACATTTCAAAACAATACAGTATTTTTAAGTCAAAACTAAAGACAAAAGAAAGCACTGAATGTAGGTGGGAATAAGATGGCTAACCCGGGTATATAATGTAAATAAATGTAGGACCTGAAATTCTTGCGTTTAAGCAGGATCTAATCAGTCTTTTGAAGATTCCACATTAGCCTGCTGAGAGCTCCAGACTTCCTTGAAGTCTTAACAAAGATGCTCCTCCACCACCCGAAACCGCAGCCCAGAAACACCGGTGATCAAGATCACCTATGCTACCATCTCAACTCTGGCAGAAACTTGACTTCAGACACGTTTGTGTAGAGGACGGGTGCAGCAATACATCCAGCTAGTTTCTTCCAAGCCTTAGCCTTTCATTACCAGTTTATGCCCTGAACCAGGAGTGCTACTCCAGGATTAAAAAATAATAATGAAACTATGGAGTGTCAAATCTGAAAGAGCAATGAAAAGGCAGAAGTCTGTGTTGTAAAGGAAAAACCACAGTCAAATAAATGTAAATTCTACCAATCTGCAGGATTTAGCTGGATCACCGTAACAACTAACTACTGTCAGGCAGAGATCCATCCAGACAAGTATTTCCTCACTGCATTACTCACCTGATCTTTGAAAAATGGTTGAGAAGTTCCCACAAAGTCTGTTGACAGAGAAAGGTGTCTTGTAAACGGGAGCCATCATCTAATTGTAATGCAATCCTAACCTATAGGAAAAATACACTGAATTAATCTGAAAATTGAATGAAAACTTTTTTTTCTTCACAACAACTTTTTTTCAATATTTCAATGATCTCTAGAACCGGCTATCCAAAAAACCCCCGACTTCTAAACACTTGCTGCAAAGGATTACATTAGTTAAAAATGCAGAGGAGCATTCAAACAATTGTTTTAGAAGTTAGCATTTAGAATAGTTATATTCTGCTATGAACATGAGTATTGTATAAGGATCTTATGAGAGACAGTGTCAAAGGCCTTACTGAAGTCCAGGTTGACAATATCCGTGGCCCTCCCCTCACCCATCAGGCCAGTCATTTTACCATAGAAGCTTATCAAGTTGGTCAAGTGTGACTTTGCCTTGTTGAACCCATGCTGGCTACTCCTGATGATTTTCCTGTCGATCATGTCCCTGGAAATGGTTTCATCCACCACCGTTCCAGGGATCAAGGTATGGCTGACCCACTTGTAGTTCCCTGTGTCCTCCTTCTTGCCCTTCTTGAAGACAGGAGCGACATTCACTTTTCTCCAGTCTTCAGGCACCTCTCCCAGTCTCCATGATTGACCAAAGACTATCAAGAGTAGCCTTGCAGGGACATCTGTCAGCTCCCTCATCACTCATGGCTGCATCCCATCAGGGCCCATGGGCTTACATACATCCAGTTTGCTCTAGTATTCCCTGACCCCATTCTCTTCCACCAGGGGTATATTTTTCTTGCTCCAGCCTCTCCCTATGGTTTCTGGGACTTGGGATTCCTAAAGGCCAGTTTTGCTAGCAAAGACTGAGGCAAAGAAGGCATTCAGCCTTTTCTATATCCGGTGTAACCAAGTCCCCTGCCTTGTCAAGCAATGGGCCCACATTTTCTGTAGCCTTCCTTTTGTCACCTATGCACGTAAAGAAGCCCTTTTTCTTGTCTGTGACTTCCCTGGCCAAATTCAATTCCAGCTGAGCTTAAGCTTTCCTAACTTCATCCCTAGATGCTTGGACAAGGTCCCTCTATTCCTCCCAGGTTACCCATCTTTGCTTTCACTCTCTGGATGCTTCCTTTCTGCAGTTGAGTTTGGCCTGCTCGTTCATCCATGCAGGCCTCCTGGCATTTTTGCCTGACTTCCTATTCATTGGAATGGACCACTCCTGAGCGTAGAGGAGGCGAACCTTGAATGTTAACCAGCTTTCTTGGGCCCCTCTTCCCTGCCATATCTTGAACTGAAACGTATTCAGACAAAGGCCAATGCAAGTGTCCCAAACAATGCATCATCATGAGCAATTAAGATGTTCTGGTTTAAATTAGCTGAAACTTTACAGCAAGGGTCTTCGCAGCTATGTAAAACAAATTCCAATAACCTGGACAGGATTGATGCAGCTGCATCAACTAAAACACCGACTCAGAGCTCTGTCGACTTAAGCATTGATTTGCAGAACAACTTCCATAGCCACACAGAGAAACAAACACGGGCCAAACCTATCTTTGAGTTACTAAGACCTAACCAACTATTATCAGTCCAAAGAGACTACGTGTGTAACTTGCAACTCATTAATGTTTCCTAACCACAAGTTTTCAACATACAATTTAAGAGTGAATTACTCAAAAATCTCAAGAATTACTCGGGACATTCAGATATCATTCAGAAGCTCTTAAAACACCTGCAGAAAAAGGCAAAGGACAGCCAGCTGCCTATTCTAACAGGCCTTTTCCAACCTGGAACGTGAATGCTCACATTCATTAGCAAGTGCTTGTGCAGATCCTACAGATTCTTCAGAGAATTGCTACCAAGAAAAAAAAAAAATCCAAGGCATTTCTAAAGTGAACACACTGATGATGGTCCTGAAGAACTTCAAACTCCTGATGGTCCCAAGGGAAAAACCCAGCAGATGACCAAAAGATGGAGAAAGGCAGAGCACTTCAGGTGTTATCTTTACCTTTTAGGGAATATTCAGTCGTATTCTTCAAAATCTGTTAACTCTAAGTTTTCCCAATTAGCTCACCCATCTAAAGAAAAGTTTAAAAAACCAAAGTCCCTCTTAGATAGCGCCTACTGTCTCTAGTCAGCCATGGTTTTCTGAAGCCCACAGGAATTGGCCTTATCAAAAGCCTGAGAAGGAAATAAGCCCAGGCCATCAACAGAAGCTTCCTTTCATGCTGTGTTTTCATGTGTCCCTACCAACAATCTCAGTGCATCCTCTCTGTCTCTGTGAGAGCGCGCGTGTGAGCAAGGCGAGGGGGGGGGAGGCGGAGAGATGGGAAAAAAACCCAGACACCACACATTCCGGCAATCTACTGCGATTTCCTTGGAGGAATACATTTATCATCTGCCTCAACTCCTACCAGTCCCTGCAGGACTGCAAATTGTGAACTGCTGGAGACAGGGATTTTTCCACATAAAGGAAACAGTGGCATCATCAACAACCAGCCAACAGAACAAAGTCATTTCATCCCACCACAGACACAACCTCCTGGGTTCTCCTGTGCTGGAGACAGCCCTATTCTCAGCTACAGCAGAGTGATGACAGCTGACATCACCATTCCATAGGAATCCAACACAGAAATTCAGACTACCGACTGCATCAGTTTTGGGGCAACAGTTCAAAGCTAAGCATGTTATGGAAGTCATACTCAGTCGATTAGAATCTCAGCCTCTATATAAAGATACCAGTGCCAATTATCTTCTAAGTTTACAAACCTATAAACAAAGGACTAACAACTTTAACACTAGAACTGAACTCACAGTACCCCTAGATCACCTGCCGTCACACGGGGGATTTGTCCCTTTTTCACTGAAGAACTGCCTCACAGGAATCGATGATTTTTACATGCAAAGACAAATCCAAAAGCATTCTATTTTTAAAACATCAGATTTGCTCAACAAACTCATGATTTATCAAAACCTGTATCCTGTCTCTAGTGGTAACCGCCGTCAACATCCCACCGGAAAGCACACTATTTCCATACACATTATCTCAACAAAGGAGACGAGAGCAAAAGGCACGGAAGCAAATCCACCCCAACATTACTGCAGCTGGCCTGCACGACTGAGTCCACGCCTCGGCTGCGGCTACACTACGGCGCAATGCTAGTGTCACTTCTGGTCATGGAGTCATCCGGCTGCTTGAAATGCCCTACAGTGTTTGACTCTGGTTCCCTGCGGCAGAGAACTCTATTGGTCCAACTGTGTTTTACACAAAGCATTTTCTTACACTGTCTGTAAAAGTCCTCCAAGTCAAATCTCTGTTCTTAGTTTATGGGACAGTGACTGTTTAGACTGCACCCTTCAGAGCACATGGGCTGCATCTTCTCAACTCCACAGAACAGCAACGAGCGCTCCAAGGGAAGCCTCACTTCCGTAGATTCGCCTGTTGAAACGCAACTGAACGGTAATGACTTAAACTTCCACTGGCTCGTCTCTTTTGTGATCTAAAGGAGTGGTTCCGTGTGATAACCCCTCTCCTACAGTGCACAGCCCTTCTCACCCTTTCCGATAAGCTGCCTGTATCTTCTTGGGGGGAAAAAACATAAAATCACCGTTCTCCGTCACTACGTTACCTCCCAAGCTGGATGCAGATGTCAGATAAAGTCATCATTGTGCCCTTCCAACAGAAACGCTTCCCTCTGGAAGACAAACTCCATGCCATCACAGCTTTTAACTGAAAACCGTAAGCAGGTGCCACTAGTCTGTTGTACTTTTTTAAAGCAAATACACCACTGGGAGCACAAAGTTCTTCCCACCAGAGAGTCAGAAAGAGAACGTTAGTGCCAACACAAAGCACATGGAGGTTTTACAGAGAAAGACCCGGACATCGGTGACCCCCAAAGCTGCGTTGTGCGCCCACAGTGAGCAGGAGCAGAGAGTCCAAAGCCGCCTCAGACTGCACAGCTCACTTTTCCATGTGTCTGCCAGTTTATCCTCGTGACAGCGAAGGCAACTGCCTATAACATCAGACCACTAACGTGGTTTGGCAGACAGACGTTAAGAGATTCGCACTCACAGTCCCAAAACATTCACAGAAATCGAGAAAGTCCACCTGAGGAAGGCAGTAGGAAGGGAGGTGACTGTTAGTGATAGGCAAATTTTGATTCCCAGGCTACTTAACTAAGATCATACATCATCTTTACCACCTAAAATGCTTATGCTCACCAACACCTATGCATCATTTTAAAAATGATGCCTCCAGCTATTATGATGACATGCATAAAAGATTTTTAAATCTCTCAAACGTGACAATAATTCCCACAGAACACAGCATCCGTAAGCTCCCTGCAAATCATACTAAACAGGGATATTCGGCAATGGCTAAACACAGCACACGTCACACAAGACTCTAAAGCTGCGTGAACGCACCATGCACAGCAATGCTGGGAAAGAAGCAGAAGAGAATCCTGTAAGAATCTGAGATTTTAGTCAAAATCCAGAGGCAGACAACAGCAACTGAAATAGAAAGGGAACCAAGTGAGCAGCTCAACTGCTGAGCAAAGTCATCAGCGACGTTTAACCTCTTACACACCCATGACTACGAGTTTTTCAGCTCCCCAAAAGATCTCCCTATCCTCCCGCACGCAGCTGGAACTCCACCATCACAGAGACTGCAGGCAAACACTTCCCGCCACTAAATTACCGTTTTCCACCACACCGCAGCCAGCCTTCGGGTGGTCTTCCACTCAAGGTCCAAGCCTAACGTACTCTTGCTCATTAGATCTGATGAGATCGTACCCAGCACGACCGGTAATTGAGCAAACAGGGTCGCGTCGTGAAGTGAACATACCGTGTTTCCAGCCCCCGCTCTGTTAGAGACTGGCACCATCTCCAGCTTGGCATTGTTGGGCAGTCGGGCAAATCTCCACTGTAAAGAGAGATCCAACACACTCCTCTGAAACCTAAAGAAGAACACAGCCCATGAAGACACCAGGAACCACCCTGTGCCACCTTCAGATCACTTCAGGGACTGGCAACAATGCAAAATCCAGGTATTTGAGGAGGAGAGTTCCCCGTGGGCCGACCAGAAGCTATAGAGCACAACTCAACAATGCACAACTGGCAATTCAGAAAACAGTCATCAACAAAAATTGTCCTGCATACCAAACCAAGCTGCAGTTTGTAGAGGTCACAGATTAAACATTCAAATATACGCTCCTCCTCAGGCTTCAAGAGATAAACGGCAACTGACTACATAGCCGAGCCTGGTGTTCACTGGTAAATAAAAAGGTGCTGGTTTTACTGCCGCTCAGACAGCCTCTTGATTGTGATACCGTGACAGTACACAGTCAAGCGCCCAGGTAAGGGAGGAGAAGCGTCCCACCAGTCTGTGAGCTAGCGGAAGGGCGTGTGCGGGGAGGGACATCAGTGTGGAAGTTACACGGGATCTCGCTATCTATCCCAAAAGCGAAGGGAACTTGGCATGGGAAATAGGGAGAGATTAACTTCAACAAAACGACTTTGCTGGAGAATCGTCTGCACCGTAGCCGTGGAGCCCTCTCTCCCCAGGGTGACCACGGGTAACCCTCGTGCCCTGCCAGGCGAGACCCTCACAGCCGAGGCGAGGGCTGAAGGCTGACCTGGGTGAG